CCCAGCTAGGACTCTGGTCCAGGTTCTCTCTGCAAATCAGCTTTAATCTCTCAGGCCAGCTTCTGTACACGGAGGTGGAAAGGAGGAAATGTAGCTCTGGGCTCCCATCTTTATTTTTTGAACCCCAAAAGGGGGGAAAGGGGGGGAGTGGTGAGTAATGATGATATTTGCTTTTCTACCAGTTAAAAGATCCAATTGGAAAAATCCTAGGGAAGAATTCTGATTGGTCTTGCTTGGTTTCTGTGGCGGTTCCTGGACCAATCATGGATCTAATCCAGAAGAAAAGAGGGATGAGTCTTAGGTCCAAATCACAGCCACCAACAGGCTGCTCTCTGTGGGTTTAAATGATCTCCAGGACCCTCTAGTCTGGGAAGCTCTTCTCTGCAGTCTAGTGTTTTGCTACCAATTAAGGTAATAATGATTGTTTACTATGTGCCAGGTACTGTTTTAATTGTTTTTGCATATATTCTCTCATTTAATCTCCTCATTGACCCTCTAAGGGGGGTTATTATTCCTGTTTTACAAATGAGGAAACTGAGACACAAAGTAGTTAAGTAGTTAAGCAAGTTGCCCAAGTGGCAGACCTGTGCTGTGAACCCAGGGGGTCAGGCCAGGAATCACATGGCCCAGTTGTATCACAGCTGCCTATCTGGAGACAGCTACCTACTAGACTATAAAATTTTTGTCACAAACGCCTGTGTGCTGGTGGTGTTCAAAGGTGTGACCACTAACGGTGAGGCTTTCCATCTGTGAGTGTGGATGGGGGACTGGGTGAGAGGTCCCCCAGATTCCTGCCATGCTTGCTGCCTGTGCTGGAGAAGCCAGCTTTGATCTGCCGCTGAGCCACTGGGCACAGGCTATCTGTTCATCTAGCCCTCTGCCAGGCACCTTGGCCCAGACTCTCCTTCTGCTGCATTCTTGCTTCTCATCAAGTCTTTATCCAGTGACCCAAGCCCTGAATCAGGAATCAGAAAAAATCATATTTTGATTTTTGTTTTGTTTTGTGTTCCTCGTCCGGGCTCCGACTTGAACAGAATACAAATAGCAATGTGTTCCTTGTTTGGGTTTTAGTGGAATTCTATTCAGTCCAACAAATGTGTGGTGAATTTCTACTTTGAGCTTAACCATGAGGCCAGGGTTAGAGCAATTAAATGAGAAGCAGACTCTGCCCTTAAAAAATTTCAGGCTACATTTTTTTTAATCCCTGTTTCTAAATTGCTCCATTCTGGATTAGGCAAAAGCTTTCTTGATGGTCTGGGTCCCTTCATTCTCTCAACTTTTGGAAAAGTCCTGTGGACCACAGCCAGCCTAAACGCTCTAAAATGCTGCTTTCATCCACAGCTGGGGTGTCTTTTTTCCCCTAAGACTAAATCAGACCTTTATTTATTTATTTATTTATTTATTTTGCGGTACGCGGGCCTCTCACTGTTGTGGTCTCTCCCGTTGCGGAGCACAGGCTCAGCGGCCAAGGCTCACAGGCCCAGCAGCTCCGCGGCATGTGGGATCTTCCCGGACTGGGGCACAAACTCGTGTCCCCTGCATCGGCAGGCGGACTCTCAACCACTGCGCCACCAGGGAAGCCCTAAATCAGGCCTTTAAATCAGGCCTTGCTTAAGTCTGATAGCCTTCTCCGTTTACCACCCCTACGAAGTGAGTTGATTTTCTCCCTGTATTTTTAACCTATTATTGCCTCCTGGTTCACACGCCTTCTTTGGAATCCTCCTTTATCTGCAGGTCTTGGTAGGCTTAGTCAAGTTTTAATCACATACTTTGCCTCCTGACCACAGTTGATTGGTTCTGAGGGATCACCTGACGCAGGGTACCCATCCATAGGCTGAGCTGAGCCAATCAGCTTCTCTTTCCTTGATGTTCTGACCTAAAAGGCTCAGAGAGCTGATAAGAATGACTGGCCCTGGAGTGAAAGGGTACTGTGGTGTTAGGTGTGAAGCTTGAGCCCGAGTAAAATCCTAGCAATCCTAGCAAGAGAGAGAAGCAAGGGAAGGGAGGTGCGCATGGAGAAAGTGGTAGAGACAATCCAGGAGGCACTGCAGGCGGAAAGGAAGGGAGAAGAACCAGCTCAATTTACCAGATCAAGCCTCCTGGTTTCCCTTTTCAACTCTACTTCCTAGCCTTGGATGTCTGGTACACCTTTCAATAGATATTCAATTAATTTGAGCGAGTTTGACACGGTCTCAGTTTCTTGCATCCCAACCAACTGTGATTAGAGCATCAAAAGATTTCTTCCATACCATCATTTGCACAGTTATTACAATAAAGTGCAGCCATTCTGCCCATCCCCTACAGATGGTGATGCCTTTTAATTCCTCTTTATATTTTCACCACCTTCCCTTGCCTCGGAACCTAGCAAATGGTCCACGTTCAATAAAAGCTTGACGTGACCTCCTCTACATTTTTCTGCCTGGCTTTCCAGCCTTCCCCCGTCTGGCCCCATATCTAACCTCATTTCCCACTACTCCTCACTACACACCCTTCGCTGTGGTTAAACCGGTCTCACCAAGACATCTGACTCATTTTCTGGGCCTTTCCTCATGCTGGAATGCCCTCCTCCCTCTTCCTCACCTATTTAATCCTCCTAATATCAGCCCCCTCCTTCTTCATTCCTGTCCTTTACTATTTACTGAACGCCCACTCTGTATCAGGCATTATGCTTAGTGCCAGACTACAGCAGAGAACTGAACACATAGGCTTGCTGTCACCATGGTGCTTCTGGTCTTGTGAACACTCTCTCTGAAGCCTTCTCCCACTCATCTCCCTCTTCTCTTACCTCTTGTAAGATTAATTCTTAGTGCCTCACACTACGGTCAGTTCAGTTGCTTGGAGTTTGTTTCGCCCACCATGCCGCCTCCTGCTAACTGGATTTTATGTGCCCTGAGGGCTGGAGCCTCAATTTTGTACTTTTTCTATTTATATTTATGTGGCTCAGCATTGGGGACACCGTGGGCACCTCAAAAATAATTCTTCACTGCCTGGCTGCTTGACTGAAAGTGTCTCCTGCCCTCTTGGCCTGGAAGATGGAAGGACAGAGAGGTATTTGTCTGTCTTTGCAATCCCAGGAATAAACACCAGCCTGGGTTTCAGTTGATCCCAATAACCCTGGCCATAAAGCACCATCTAAATCCAAGGTAGAGACCAACAAATAGAGGTTTCATTTGTTCTGTTTAGTCCCAGATACTCTGGGGGGAGGGCTTCACCGACCTCCTCACCACAAACCCACGCTAACAAACAAGAAGCCACTTCTCTCTGGCAGCCTCCTGTACAGCGTCCTTTTACCTACAAGTCAACTCTCTCGTCTCCAGGTTTTCTGAAAGACACCTTTCAGCTCTGTGTCTTTACTGGGTGGGAGGGAAAAAAAATAGGGGCACTAGATTTTATTCTCTCCCCAGACGTAAGCAAAGGTGGTTCATCCCAAACCGAGCCCAGGGAGCCCTCACCACAGAATTTCTCTGTATAATGAAAGTACCTTTTTGAAACACAAAGTTACTCTTTCTACTCAGGAAGGGAAAAAATAATCCACCAACCAACCCCCAAACCTGCACTTGGCCAAAATCCTGAGGTCGATGGCAGGACCAAAGTGAATCATTTCTCTTTGCTCTGATTGCATCAGCGACAGGCGTCTGGGAGCTGCTTGGTCCCCAGTAGAGGCCTCACACCACATTTGTGCCTAATTCTGATTCCCTTTTTGTTTATAAGCAGGGCCAACTTAATCAACGCAGGACAGGAGTTAGGTTCAGCTCAGCTGGTTGAGTCCAGGGACAGAGAGTTCTGAGGAAGAAGCTGTTGTACACATTTGGGGTTGTTCCTCTTGAGTTTAAAAGTCAAGCCCAGCTATAGCTCCATCTCTCTGTCCCATTTGAGATGCTCCATAATGCCTTCAACATGATGTCTTGGTTTATAGGTATCTTTTCACAATAATAACAGCCAGCAATTTTTGAGCCAAGTCTTCCTAAGTATCTACCCTCACTAAATATCATTTGTATGTTATTTCATTAGTTCTTAAAAACAAACAAACAAAACAAACAACCCCCCCCACACACAAAAAAAGCCCTATGAGGGGGGCTTCCCTGGTAGCACAGTGGTTAAGAATCCGCCTGCCAATGCGGGGTACGGGTTCGAGCCCTGGTCCAGGAAGATCCCACATGCCAAGGAGCAACTAAGCCCGTGTGCCACAACTACTGAGCCTGCACTCTAGAGCCCGCGAGCCACAACTACTGAGCCTGCATGCCACAACTACTGAGCCTGCGTGCCACAACTACTGAAGCCCACGCACCTAGAGCCTGTGGCTTCTCTTGTTGCAGAGCAATGAGAAGCCTGCGCACCGCAATGAAGAGTAGCCCCCACGCACCACAACTAGAGAAAGCCCGTGCACAGCAACGGAGACCCAACACAGCCAAAAACAAATATATAAAATAAATAAATTAACAAAAACAAAACAAACAAACAAAAAATCCTATGATGTTGGTGCTATGGTTATCTCTACTTTATAGATGTAGAAACTGACACCCAGAGAAATTAGGAGGCTTGTCTACAGCTAGTAACTGACCAACGCAGGACTTGAACCCATAGCAGCTGACTCCAAAACCAAGTTCTTACTCACTATGATAAGGTTTCTCTCTTTCTTCTTACTTTTCAAAGGACTCCCCATTCTTCAAAGACTGAAGAAAATTCCACCCCCTCCCAGGTATCTTCAGGCCTCTCTGGTCTTCCCTCATCTGACTGACCTCCTCTTACCTGTTAGAACCTCTCAGGCCATTCTGAAGGAACCATTCACTCATGCAACAAATACTGAACGCCTACACAGGCCAGGCACTGTTCCAGGAGACTCAGCAGCGAACAAAACAGATAAAAATCCCTGCCCTCATGGACTTTACATTCCAGTGGGGAGAGACACATTCTAAAAATATAAATACATGAAAATATATGTATATTAGATGGCAAGAAGTGCTAGCGAGGCAAATAAGGCAGAGAAAGGAGAGAGAGAGAAGACGTGAGAAAATGTACAATTTTAAGCAGGGTGGCCAGGGCAGGCCTTACTGAGAAAGGGATACCAGACTTAAGCTCTAATAGACAAGAGAATGAGTCGTGGAGGGGGAAGGGCATTTGAAACAGAGGGAAGGGCAAGTGCAAAGGCACAGAGGCAGGAGTGTGGCTGGGGTGTTTGGGAAATGGCAAGGAGGCCAGTGTGGCTGGACTAGAACCAGTGAAGGCAAAGAGCAGTGGGAAATGAGGAGAGAGAGGTAAAAAAGAGGAGGCCAGGCTGTTTAGAGCCTTGCGGGTCATTATAGGGATGCTGGCACGCACTCCGAGTGAATCGGGAAGCCATTGGAGGGTTTCGAGCAGACGTGCATTTTAATAGTATCACCCTGGCTGCTGTGTTGAGATCAGGCTGAAGGGGGGATGAGGTTGGGAGGCTGTTGATAATCCAAGTGAGAAATGATGGCGGCTCGGATGGAGGGAGCGAAGGCAGTGAGAGCAGTCAGAGTCTGGATGTATTCTGCAGTGAAGTCAGCAGGATTTCCTGACAGATGGGAGGTGGGAGGTGAGAGAAAGAGAGGAGTCAGGAATGACACCCAAGTTTTTGGCCCGAGCATCTGGAAGAATGCAGTTGCCATTTACTGAGCTCACTGTGGGAGGAACAGGTTTGGAGGAGGGAAATCAGGAGCTCAGTATTGGATATGATAAATGTGAGATGCCTATTAGAGATCTAGGTGAGCAGGTAGTTAAATAAACAGTTCTGGAGTTCAGGGGAAGAGATCTGGCTAGAAACACAAATGTGGAAGTCATTAGGGTGTGGGTGGTATTTTTTAAGCCACAAAATTGAGTGAAATCAGGCTTCCCTGGTGGCGCAGTGGTTAGAATCTGCCTGCCAATGCGGGGGACACGGGTTCGAGCCCTGGTCCGGGAAGATCCCACGTGCCGCGGAGCAACTAAGCCCATGCGCCACAACTACTGAGCCTGCGCTCTAGAGCCCATGAGCCACAACTACTGAGCCCACGTGCCACAACTACTAAAACCTGAGCGCCTAGAGTCGGTGCTCCGCAACAAGAGAAGCCACCGCAATGAGAAGCCCGCGCACCGCAACGAAGAGGAGCCCCCGCTCGCCGCAACTAGAGAAAGCCCGCGTGCAGCAACGAAGACCCAAAGCAGCCAAAAAAAAAAAGATTATAAAATTGAGAGAAATCACGGAGAGTGAAAGTAACTAAAGAGGTGGGGTGTAAGGACCATGCCCCAGGGCGCTTAAACATTTAGAGGTCAAAGAGATGAAGAGGAACCAGCAGGAGACCAAGAAGGAACAGACAGGGAGATAAGAAGCCACCTGGAAGGGTCTTTCAAGGAAGAGGGAAAAATCAACTGTCAGACACTTCTGATGGGTCAAGTAGCAAGAGGACTGAAAATTCACCCATTGATCAAAAGAAGAAATGTTTAATTAAACAGTCTTCTTGTTTTGTTTAGATGTGTATTCATTTAGACATCTCAACCAATCACAAGGGTGGAAGAAGCAGAGATTGATTTGCCCCCCAATGTGCTTCTGTACCCTACTCCCCTCCCCCCATGCCTCTCCTCCCCTTCCCCCTGTTGTGCATCCCCACTCCTAACCCCACCTCTGACTTTGCTGGGGTCTAGGGGTTGACTCACCAGTCAAGGGAATCTTGGGCCTGAGCTGAAACACCAGAACAATCTCTGAGGCAAGTCACTGCTTCACAGATTTGGTGAAGGGAGTAAGCTGCTGTCTCGCTTTAAAAAGAAGGGGTATGAGGGATAAAGTGAAGGTGGCAGAAAAGGAAGGTGCAGACACCTGTGTAAAGGGAAGACAATTTTGCTTGTAAAGGACGCCTGCAGCAATTTTGTTGTTGTTGCTATCAGGAAGCAAAGGAATTTATCTTGGGGCTGCATGGCTCCTTGGTTTAGGTAAGTCATTAATGAGCCTTTTCTAGTTCGCTCCATTCTGGAGCCTAGAATAAGGTAGATGTAGAGAACTAAATTCCTCTGCACTGAGTTTTTCCCTGGCAGGTAAGGGAGACAGGCGTGTCAGAGCCTGGGAACTGAGAGAAGAGAGATGGGAGAAAGATGGCTGGCAATGAATTCCCAGGGGTGGGGTGGGGCTGAGCTGAGTTTTAAGAGGAGTGAGGTCTAACATTCATTTTTTTCTGGAACTTTTTTACCGAAGTAGTAATAGATATAGAGAGAAATGTGTACCACTTGATAACTTTTCACGCACCCATATAACCAGCACTCAAGTCAAGCACTCCAGCCCTCGTGTTCTTTTCCAATCATGACTCCACCCCAGGGCAATCACTATCCTGACTTTGAACAGCATGGACTAGTTTTACCTGTTTTTGTATATTATTAAAGTGGGTCGTGCCTTTTAGTATCTGCCTTCTTTCCTTTTTTAAATATTTATTTATTTACTTTTATTTATCATCTTATTTATTTTGGCTGCGCCGGGTCTTAGTTGTGGCACGCGGGATCTTCGTTGCAGCATGTGGAATCTTTAGTTGTGGCATGCAAACTCTCTTAGTTGCAGCATGCAGGCGGGATCTAGTTTCCTGATTAGGGATGGAACCCGGGCCTCCTGCACTGGGAACGCGGAGTCGTACCCACTGGACCACCAGGGAAGTTCCGGTATCTGCCTTCTTTCACTCAACATTGTATTTGTGAGGCTCAACCATACTGTTGCATACAGTTATAGATCTTCATTGCTGTAGACTCTTCCATTTTAATGATTATAATGCAATTGATTTATCCCCTCGACGACTGATGGACATAGAAGTTATTTCTATTTGGGGGCCATTGCAAACAGTGTCGTTACAAACATATTTGGACAAATCTAGTATTCACTTTCTTTTCCAACTTTTTATTTTGAAAATTTTCAAACATAGGAAATCGAAACAATTATATAGTGAACATCTATATATGAATTACTGTGGATGCATTTCAAAGTAAGTTGAACTCTCCCTAGCATTTCAGTAAATGTATCATTGACAAAAGTTTACTGCTTATTTATGGGTTTTCCTTTGAGGGAAGACTTACACAAAGTGAAATGTATTCATGTTAACAGTATCATTCAGTGAGTTTGTGAAATGCATACACCTGTGTAACCCAAACCTCTAACAAAATCTAAAACATTATTGTCACCTAGAAAGTTCCCTCATGACTCTTCTCAATTTTCCTGCACCATCACTGTGTTCTCATTTTTTTTCACCATAGATTACTTTTGCCTCCTTTAGAACTTCATATAAATGCAATCACACAGTATGTACTCTTTTGCCTAAGGCTTCTTTCACTCAGCATAATATTTCTGAAATTCATTCATGGTGTTGCACGAATAAGTAGTTTGTTCCTTTTCATCTCATGAATACACCACAATTTGTTTATCCATCCTCCTGTTGACTGACATCTGGGATGTTTCCAGTTTTGAGCTTTATAAAGGAAAATGCTGGGCTTCCCTGGTGGTGCAGTGGTTGAGAATCTGCCTGCCAATGCAGGGGACACGAGTTCGAGCCCTGGTCTGGGAAGATCCCACATGCTGCGGAGCGACTAGGCCCGTGAGCCACAACTACTGAGCCTGCGTGTCTGGAGCCTGTGCTCCGCAACAAGAGAGGCCACGACAGTGAGAGGCCCACGCACCGCGATGAAGAGTGGCCCCCGCTCGCCGCAACTAGAGAAAGCCCTCGCACAGAAATGAAGACCCAACAATAAGACCCAAAAATAAATAAATAAATAAATAAATTTAAAAATAAAGAAAAGAAATAAAACATTATAAAAAAATAAAGAAAGAAAAACGTTATTACCATTCTCATACTAGTCTTTTTGTGGACATAGGCTTTCATTTCTCTTGGGTAAATAACCTAAAACCAAAATTGCTGGGTCGCAGGGGTATGTTTAGTTTCATATGAAATGGCCAGACCTTCATTTCAAAGTGGTTGTATGATTTTACACTCCTACCAACAAGACAGGAAAGTTTATACTGTTCAACACCCTTGCTAACATTTGGTGGTGTTCGTCTTTTTCATTTAAGCTGTTCTGGTGGGTGTGTAGTGGTACCTTACTGTGGTTTTAATTTGCATTTCTCTGATAACTAATGACATTGAGCACATTTTCAAGTGCCCACTGGCCATTCATCTAGCTTCCTTTGTGAAATGTCTATTCAAATTTTTGCCATTTTTTATTGGGTTGTTTGTCTTTTTTGCTCTTGACTTATAGGAGTTCTTTCTAAGTCCCAAATACCAATCCTTTGTCAGATAAATGCTTTCTTTATAAATAATGTCTCCCAGTCTATGGCCTGCTTATTCGTTTTCCTGTCTAAAAAAAAAATCTTTGCTTACCACCAAGTCACAAAGATATTCTCCTAGGTTTGCTTACAGAAGCTTTATAGTTTTAGTTTCTATATTTAGGTCCATGCTCCATCTCAAACTAATTTTTGTACAGAAGATAATGTTTGAGGTTCTTTTTTTAGAATATGGATATCCAGTTGTTCCACCATCGTTAACTGAAAAGGCTCTCCTTTCTCTATTAGATTGCTTTACCTCTGTCAAAAATTAAACCATCCTATAAGTGTATTTCTGAACTCTCTATTCTGTTCCATTAATCTACTTGTTGATCCGTTTTTTTAAAAGATTTATTTATTATTTTATTTTATTTATTTTTGGCTGCGTTGGGTCTTAGTTGTAGCACGTGGGATCTTCGTTGAGGCATGTGGGATCTTTGTGCCGCGCGGCCTTCTCTCTAGTTGTGGCATGCGGGTTTTCTCTTCTCTAGTTGTGGTGCACAGGCTCCAGGGCGCGTGGGCTCTGTATCTGTGGCGTGTGGGTTCCAGAGCGCGTGGGCTCTGTAGTTTGCAGCACACAGGCTCTCTAGTTGAGGCACGAGAGCTCAGTAGTTGTAGCGCGTGGGCTTAGTTGACCCGCTTGCATGTGGGATCTTAGTTCCCCGACCAGGGATCGAACTCCTGTCCCCTGCATTGTAAGGAGGATTCTTTACCACTGGACCACAAGGGAAGTACCCTATTTGTTGATCCTTATGATAGAATCACACTGTCTTGATTACTATAGCTTTACAGTAAGTCTTGAGATCAAGTAGCATGAGTCCTTCTAACTTTTTGCTTCATCTTCTTTTTCTTTCAGTATTGCTTTGGATATTCTAGGTCCTCCATATAAATTTTTGAATCAGCTTGTCATTTTAAAAAGAAGTCTTCTAGGATTATGAAAGAGACTTTGTTGAATCTCCATATCAACATGGGTAGAATTGACAGATTAGCAATATCAGGTCTTCCAAGCCATGACGTGGTATATCGCTTCATTTATTAGGTCTTCTTGAATTTTTTTCAGCAATAATTTATAGCTTTCAGTGTGCAGGATTTGTCTTTTATTAAGCTTACTCTTAAGCATTTTATGATTTTGATACTATTGTAAATGGAATTGTTGTTTTAAATTTCATTTTTCCAATTGTTTACTGATGGTATATTAAAATACAACTGATTTTTAAAATAATAACACTGTATGTATCCTGTGATGTCGC